TTCAGAAAGGTGGTTGTTTAAATGTATGGCAGTGGGATGTGGTATCAGAGTAGAATTGTATTCAGTGCTTCACAGTCACCTACCTGTACCTGCTCCTTGCTCCATTACAATTTCCCATTAAGTTCCTGTTCTGTGTTGCTTTTTGTGCTGATCTTTCAAAATTGCCATATACATATGTTAAATCAGTCTCTGCTGCCCACACAGGTTTTCCAGGTATGCAGACATTAATTTACTGAGAGCATGCTTGGTAATTTTTGCCAGTGCCCTACATGCCCTGTAAATGGAGTCGTGATCACTGTGGTTTGCAGATCACTAATCCTCTGTTTTAACGCCTGATTAGGTCCCAAATCCATCGTTGTTAGTGAGATGTGGGTGTGGGGAGGGCAGGAGGATTTCATCCTCTCAGCTGAGAGTTAAGCTGCTAGAGGTACACCCGGCTGGTGCTGTACCAGTCTATTAATTAGCTTGCCTGGAAGTTTCCTTGGTGCTGCTCAGTGAGGTTGTGGAAAGGTCAGACGCTCCATTAGAAGTGCTGTGCTTCAACTTGAAGTCATTGCATTTAACACTCAACAAATCTCTAGGAAAAAAATATCAAATAAAGCATTAGCATAAAAATATTTTAAAAACTCAAGTCCCCACTTCAAGCAGCATTTGAAAGAACACCAAATCATGATAATTAGCATCTGCGTAGCTCCTTAATTACAAGGACCTTCTTCATTCTTCAAGTGAGCTTCACAGGGGTTTTCTGAGGTAAGTGCATCAGTGGTCACCACTGCACTTTGCACAGTGGGAAATGGAATTAAAGATGGTTTAAGTTATCTGCCCCTAAAATAAGACACCAAGTCCCTGATAGATATCTCCATGTCCCAAACCCCATTAAATTATATTGATTATCAGCAAAGGGGTGTCATTTTATTGCTTAAAATGTAACACTGCAGGATGAATGGAAAATACATACCATCCTCTCATGTTGGGAGGAGTGGCTGATACCCTGAGAGCTGTGCAGCCCTTCAGAAGAACCTCAACAGGTTGGAAAGGTGGGCAGAGAAGAACTATCTGAAATTCAACAAAGGCAAATAGAGGGTCCTGCACCTGGGGAGGAATAACCCAGGCACCAGTACCCAGACAGAAACTGATGCACAGGAAGTTCCACCTGAATATGAGGAAGAACTTTACTGTGCAGGTGACCAAGCACTGGAAGAGATTGGCCAGGGAGGTTGTAGAGTCTCCCTCATTGGAGATATTCAAGAACTGTTTGGATGCAAATCTGTGCAATGTACTCTGGGATGACCCTGCTTGAGCAGGGAGGTGGGACCAGACGACCCACTGTGGTCCCTTCCAACCATTCTGTGATTCTGTGATCCTTGCAAAAAAACCCAAACTTGGAATTAAATGGCAAAAAGGCAGAATTTGCTCGAGTTTGGCATATATATGTAAGACAGCCCTCTGCCTTTCCTGCCAGATGGTGCCAACTCTCCAGTAAAGTAGTGTGGCTGTGGTACAGACAAGAGGCAATGGCTTAGCTCTCAAATAAAACAGGTGACAATCTCTGAAGCTGAGGTGAGCTGTCCCCTGAACTTCCAAACCCTTGCTGTGCCTGCTTATGCCCCGGGAGGTGGGAATGTGCTACCTCGAACCTCTCACTTGGCTTTAAGATAGGACTTGTGTGTCTCATAGCTGGGTGAGCTGAGAATGTGTGTCTCAGGGTTAGGGCAGCACAGGAGACAGATGGCAGCTGGTGAAGCTGCAGTAACTCCACTGCACTGAGATGCAGGTGAGCCCGAAGCAGCCAGGCAGGCTGTCACAGAATCATAGAATCATACAGTATCCTGAGTTGAAAGGGAACCACAAGGATTATCGAGTCTAACTCCTGGTCCTGGACAGGACAACCTCAAGGATGTCACCATAAGACTGAGAGCATTGAAAGGACCTGTGGGAACAAGCCCTTATCTCCCACCTCTGCTATGAACATCCTCTGTACGCTCTCACCTTGTCTATCCCTTCCCATCACAGCTAAAAATTTGGTGTGTAGCATACTCAAAATGTTTTAGAACTGTGCATGTGGCATACGGACTGCGTTAAAGCCTTATTCAGCCACCTCCTTGAGTCGTGTTTCCAGATGCTCTTTGCAGCAGAAGGCAGGCTTTAACCCCATTTTGTCTGTATTGCAACTGGTAAAACTAAATACAGCTAAATGGACCACAGTGTCGTTGTTTTTGAAAAGAGAAAACTGTTTAAACCTGCAAGGTTGGAGCTGACAGCCAGGAGCTGGCTGGGGAAAGGCGGCTGCTCCCAGCTCCTTGTCAGTAACACCACAAACATACGGCCGGACAATTTACAGCAAAATCAAAAGAGGGCAGACAAGGGAACGCAACCAACCCCTCCTGCACTAACAACGCTATCACAGCTCCAGCTGGAAGAGGGCAGCATGTGTTTTATTTAATGGTTTATATTGCTCCATTGCTGAGGTCACATTTCTGAGAACAAAACAAATCAGCCGTAAAACCAGGGAGCCTCTGCTGCAGCAGCTGGGTCTTGGCCTGGAAATTCAAAGTTTGGGTCTAGATCCAAACTCTCCCCAAATGCCCAAGGACTTGCATTTTAAGACTTAGATTGTGTTCATTTCTATTTATGCTAAAAAACCCCACCAAAGAGAAAAAGCTTAGCACGAATCTATTAGCAGCTGGCCTAGACTTCTCATGCTATTGTAAATGAGGTCAGCAGGACTCTGCAGGATATTGTCATAAGGTTGCAATTAGCAATGAGAATTATGCCACACACATTTTACATTAATGCAGTTGCAGTAAAAAGCTGTTGAATTCAGACATGAAAGCAACAGTTTGTGTCAACTAATAATACAACAAAATATAAACTTTAGATGCAAAGACACACCAATAGTTCTTTTTTTTTTAAAAAAAAAGCTCTTGTTGAGAAGTTCAGTCACACTTTATATTAATTTTTCATTTTTGAATATAGAGGGCACTAATTTATTATTCACTTGAATACAGACATGATTTATATGGGTGTGAATATGTCAGGGAAAAACGTCATATGGATAGAATTATGTCAAGGAAAGGCATTTAGTTAACTAAAAGCCTCTTAAAAAGTAAATCTAGTGAGCTATTACATTTTATAAAATACTTAACTATACACTATCCTGTCAGTCTATTCACCAGTTGCTCTCTACTTACAAGCTGTTGATACTTTATATGCTGTTTAGGAGGAGAACCTTGAAGAATAAGGTGATTTGAAAACTTCAGATTTTTGAGTTTATTGCTAAGGCCTGGATACTGTTCTCCATACAGTCAGTGAGATCAGTTCATTAGCTATAATTGGAAAAAAGATTGGGTAGTCTCTTTTGAAATAATGACACCAAGGTTTCTATATTCAAATAAATTTATATGGAACGGCTCGTTGGCAAAGGTATTCTGAAATACAGAGAAGACTGAACTGAATATATTGTGAGAGTGTTAGTATTTTAGATCTTTGCCTTGTTTAATTTTTAATGTATTAATTTTGCATTTCTATACGGCATCTTTCAACACAGAAGTACTGGGCTAAATTTAGTTCCAGGTAATGGAAAATCCACTAAGTAAGCAAGGGCCATGAATGCATTTGACAACATCTGTATGAGGGACTGTGACAGCACAAAGCTCCTTGCAGAGAGTCCCAAATGGAGGCTCAGAACCCAGTGACATCCAATGGCAAATGCCTGCAGTCAGCACATCTGGATCAGCACATCCTGACACCATTTGTTGCAGGGTCAGCCACAGTCAGGTTCAAGCTGCTGTTTTCCAGGCTGAATCCTTGTGGAGGACAGCAATGGAATTTTCCTAGGCCCTCAGCTGAGGCTGCTGGTGTATTTTGTGTGTGTGTTATGGTATCCTGTTTCCCATACTCCCCCACGGGGGTAAATTATGACTAGAAAATCTCATTGCAGGACTGCCGAGTACTGGAAGGACCATTAGTGACATGGGAAGAGAAAAGCAGCAAAGTAGACCCTGTAGAGGAAAAAGCATCTGAGGTGGTTCCACAGGCTGAAAACAATCTTCAGACATAGCATGGCAAGGGAGATGTCAGTGCTGCAAGGGAAATGTCAGCTTAGCCAGGGAGCCACTGTGGTGGGAGATCTCTGTGGCTGTGGTTGAGCCATTGTTGTGCTCTGGCAGCTGCATTGCAGCTTTGCTGGGAATGTTTTGTGCCACGGCCTTGGAAGCGGGTGGCAAGGCTGACTGCTGCTCCTCTTGCTGCAGGGATGAGGAACAAGCCCCCTGACACCACAGTCTACACCCAAATAGTTGGTTGGGTGCCTGCTGCCCACCCTGGAAGTCTCAGGATATTTGCTGGAAAAGATGATATTCATGTTGTTCACTCTTTGTTAGATGTGATGAGAAGAACAGGCTCAGATCTGCTTCCAGCTGGCAGTGCAGGTGAGAGAGGCTGACCCTCTTGTCCTGTGAGCCACATGCCAGAATTTGCTGGTCTTACGTCACAGGCATCCAGAGAGCTGGAGGAACTCCATCCCTCCATCCTACTGACACACTGAGCAAGGCTCAGGGGTGGTACTGGGCAGACTGGTTAGCTCAACTGGGGCATGTGTATTAGCTCTGCCTCTCAAACTGGGGATTTTGCTAAGCCAGCAGAACATGAGCTCTAGGTCTGGGGAGGATCTGCACTCCGTCTGCTTGGATGTGGCTGCTGTTTGATCACACCCTGGGCACAGTGCTGTGATCTGCTGCTCAGGTTTCACCCAGCCCTGTGTGAGGACACCTCGTGCCTCAGGCATGCCCTGTGCCCCTCATGGGTTGTACACCCTGAGGGTGGGCTGTGAGAAGTTCTTTCCTTTCTCACTTTGGGCATGAGGATAAAACCATGATTAAGCCTCACTTGCTCCCTTTCTCAAACTTAACTATCCATCAGACGGTGTTTCATCCAAATGGATGCTTTGCACCTCATTCTCCAGACAGCCACACCAGCAGTCTGCAATCCAGAGCACTCCTAGTGAGACAACTGTCTGTTCTGTCCTGGTTTTGCTGTTATTTTTACCATTTTCTTTTACTACATCTCCGAAAAATCTGCAAGTCTTAGGTAATTTGGCTTAATTTACTGCAAGGATTTCAACATTCAGTGAACCAGACCAAATTACTGATTTCAAATGTCTGGTCTATAGCATGGAGAGAGTCTTGAATCAATTACAACCAGCAAATATTATGTGTGTGCAGAAGTGCAGGCTGGTTCTAGCAACCGACCCCTTTCTGTCCTTATGCTTTTCCAGGGAACTGAAGAAATTTTTTCAACAAGACACAGAGTCCATGATTTTACAACAGTGCTTTCTAGAGATCACTTTGCTGGAAGTCCTGAAGTCCCTGACACTAAGAAAAAAGGCTCATCAAGTGACTTGAGATCACTGTGTCTGACTGGAGCATAGATGTTGTATGAGGAGACACCCAGGGATACAATTTTCCTAAATTTTCTTTGTGAACAGGCAGTTACCTTCCCAGCTGTCAAGAACCTCTATGAATAAAGCCACACAAAGTGTAACTGGCCACTGCTGTAGTAATTTAAAGCAGTTTCAGCCATCAATGGCTCATGCTGCAAAACATTGGCTTTCTTAGAGCTCTTCCAGATGAGAAGCACGTGAGAGATTGAGTTGTGGCACCTTAATAGCTTTTGGTGCTTGTCCATACCTTTCCAATAACGGTGAGTTGTCAAGGTTGACCAGCTCATCCCAATCACAAGTGCTGTGTTTATAACAAATATATTCTGTGGCTACAGAGCTCTTCCCTGTGTGTTTTGATAACAACTCTTCCTTCATGTGCTTGGATTTTCTACCAGCTTTATCACAATTTTGTAATAATTAAGATCAGGAAAAAGATTTGCAAAGACCATACTAAAATATTCTTCCCTCTTTTTAGGCAGCAATTTATTCTAACATAATATATGAAATAACTGTGTGATAGGATACATTCACATCAAACTTTGGTTGTTCCAATTGACCCAACAGTTTTCTCCAATTAATTTTTCTGTAATATAAAAATGAATCAGGTCATTTTATAGACTTGCAAGATGAGCTTTTGAATTAATTAATCCAGAATTTTACATTTCTGAGATGGATTCGTAGTGCTAAAAGTGTAGGTGTATGTGCAGCAGTTTAAATAATCAGACTAAATGATTCACAGTGTATATATAAAGTTGCAAAATAGTAATCTTAAGGAAAACACATGTTTGAAGAGCATTTAATGTTTATTTTCCTATTATTTGAGTAATTTTGAAAGGCATTTTTCATGGATACAGAGTAAGAAATATTGCAGTAAGAAATATTACAGTATTTTGCCTTAGGGGGATCGTGTTCTTATCTTCTGACTTGCGAGAGGCATGGGGTGAAATGTCCAAGCTGTTCTAGCTGTCACAGCCACATAATATCCCTCTGAAGTATGTTAATATTCTCTCTGAGCTGTTCCACTGAAACCCTCCCACTACAAGTTGTCTTCAAACATGAGAAACAGCTTGAAGAACCGTGAAGCTGCAGGACTGTGTGATGCTGCTTTGGACATGTTGCAAAAGGGGACAAGAAAAGGCAAGAAATTAAAACTAACTGGTGTGGTTAAACTGTGGAAATTCATGTGTCTCGAATTCCACGGATTTACTTTAATTGGTGCTGCGATCTGTTTAGTTAAGCTGTTGTAAATCCTAGTGTAAGCAATAGGAAGGGCATTTAGCAAGGCTAAGACAAGGAAGACTTGCTTCTCTGGGCTCTTTCCACAGTCATGAGAGAGAGAAAAAGGCCTTTCCAAGAGAATAGCTTGGGCTGTGGATCTGCTGAATTGATCCCATGAAAAGATGATAAAAGAGCAATGTCTCTTCCTCCAGCCTGTCCACTCCCTCCAGTTTGCTCTTGTACTCACAAGCACCATCAGTCAGACCAGCTTTCTAACACCAAAGACAACAATGACCTGTTTTTCAGCTGCCAGGCTGGTGGCTGAAGTGGCAATGGGGTGACCTGGCCTTCTCTAGGTTAGGATCCCCCTCACAGGGTGATGAGCAGTGCTTTGAGTCACTGAGGATCTTCACAGAACTCTGACTTACAGGGCATGACCACTATTCTGCATTACACATATGTTCCTATAAATATATGTGTATATATACATACAGATATATATCAATATGTATATGTCTGTTTAAATACTAACTATGGAGACACACATCCCCATGTTTGCCTAAGAAGGGGTTACATAAATATATAAAAACTACATTGAGGAGCAGTTTGTTTAAAGAAGTGTTGCTATGGCTGCAGTGGCTTTTGTGTACAGTTATTTAAAATACGGGCTTATGCAGAATGAAGTGACAGACAGATTTGTATCTTTGTGTGGTCAAACTGCCACTGGTTCAGCTCTGCTTGTTAGTTATGACAGAGGACAGCATCTCTTGTGTCCTGAGTGAGCAAGACTGGAGCTCACTGCTCAGCTCTCTTCAGGCAGCTGTGACTCAAACAACTACTCTGAAGCTGTTTGTTTGCTTGAGAAAGGAGGTGGATGTGTGTCATTTCCTTGCGTAGACACATAGGCATAATTTTCCTTTCTCGTTTTGTTTTCTGTTTTCTTGGTTTGTTTGTGCTTTTGTTGTTGTGTTTGTTTTTTTTTAATGAGATGGCAAATCACTTGGGACAAGCAACGCAAACTGCATCAGAAGGACAAGGTTTCTGAGCATGAAAAGCTGAAGGATCTGAATTTTTTAATTGGTCTTCATTTGAACCCCTAAAAAAAGGCAAGAGGCACCTGAAATGTCAAGGCACTTAAAATTGTTGTCCTTGGATTACACAAGGGTAAAGCAGTCAGTGAGCCTATCAAACAAGTCATGAACAATTTGAGAAACATGCGAAGGAAATGTGGCGTGGAGCCTGAGGTTGAAGGGACTACAAAGGAAGTGATTTCAATGAGGAACAAGTGATGCTCGGCAGACACAAAAGAAATAATTGTTCATCCCTATGGATAGTTCAGCCTTACCCATTTGTGATTCTGTGGTGCTCTGTACACACCCTCAGCTTCCCCAGGAGTCCATGGGCAAATGTTGTGTGCAGCAAACAGATTCCAACCCCATGAGTTCCTCTCTGGTATTTCAAATCAGTTCTGCCAAAAATGTCTTCCAAAAGTCAATTTGCAATTGTTTCCATAGCTGTGTCTTTATAATGGGGTCATTAATTATCCTCCGTGTTATTTATGAAACAATTCTAGTGACTTTCAGATTTGGCCTTTCTGTGCTGACATCTGTGCTCCAGAGACATATTGACCATTGCTCTGATGCCTGTGAGCTCCACCTGGGCAGAGTCTTGTCCAGGTGACCTCTCTGGAGACGTAGACCCTCCACTGAAGCAATCACACTGGACCAGGGCCCAAAGGTTTTGCTTCAAGAATTTCAAAGTGGAACATGCCAGAGCTGGGCAGAGGAATGTCAGAACAGCTGCTCTCTACTTGCAAAATTAGGAGAAAATGAGTGATCTTGATTTTATGGAGGAAATTCTTGGATGTAACGTGTATGGTGCATCCCTAGTGCATGCTATGAAAGTTCATATGCCACCATATGAATGGAATATATCATGATCTGTTAAGTGCTGACATTTAAATACTTGTACTAGCTGAAGGTGTTATATCTTCTTTTAGAGTTGCTCACCTTCGTAATTACAACCAGTACTTGTATTTCTCATTCAAAACTGTGAAAGAATGTTGATTTTTTTCACTTCCAGCCATGACATTACCTGTTGGACTCATCCAGCTTTTCCTCTCTGATGGGTACCTCAAGCAGAATTTCAAGCAGAAAGGATTTGTTCAAGCTGATCACTTTTTGGCAACAGAGGCAGAAGCACAAGTATGAATAAATTCCCAAGTAACTCCTAACTTAAGAGACAGGGATAGAGAGATCCGAAAGATAGTACTTAGTTGGTGAGGGTTCAGACTTGTTTGGCTAAAAAGGGACCCTTCTATCCACAAAAAAGATACTGCCTGTCATCAAGGACTTTACAACCTGAAATTCCGATTTCATTTGTGTGGGTGATAGTCTGTGCCCACAGCTGTGCCAGCGTTGCTATGGCTGTTATTCACCATCAGATGTAAATACTAAACATAAATAAATAAAATTTATGTCAGTCTTTATCTGGGAGGAAGTGTAGCAGAAACAGAACATCTCCCAAGGGACCTTGGCACACTGTGAGGTAAACCAGGCACCTCCCTAAATAGACGCACGAGCCTCTGTAGTCTGAGCTAAATATTCGTTCTCAGTGAGTAAATAGGGTAAGAGCTGTGTCTGAGCACTGCACATGGTCATCCTCAACACTAAGCTGCTGGTGGGCACCATGGCATGGTTTTTTCTGCCCATGTTCAGAGTTGCCAGGGTCAAGACTGCTCCTGCAGATCCCTTGATCACAGCCAACATGTCCCAGGCATAGAGAGAAGTGAGCAGTATCAATGAAGACTGTGGCACACTGTGACCAGAAAACAGCCTGTGCACCATTTTATCTTCCTGCTTGGATGCAGCCAAAAATCCAGTGCTGAAGCTGAGCACTGTGGGTGCTCCTTGGCCTCTGTGTATCGGGTGCCATCTGGGAGATGGAGCAGATGCTGGTGTCCATCACACACTCAACACATTGGGCCAAGTGCATGAGTGAAACTGTGGAGCCTATAAAAGGATAACATGTCTAAAATCCTCATCGGATGTGGGTCTCAGTCACCCAATAAGATACTGATTAGGCATTTAAACGAGTAACTGTGGCTCTGAAAATCCCCCCTCAGTAGACACCAAGGTCCAGAGTATCTGAACATCAAAGATCCTTCATTTCCTGACATTAAAGTTCCTCTGGCTTTTGACCATCATGCTCTGGACCTGCAGATCTATAAACAAGGCACTTGTCCATGTACATCTCATGATCTTGACACAGGAGGCTATCACAGTACACTGAGGAGACTGACTGTGAGCTATGGGCACATATTGCTGTGATAATGACACATTTCCATCATCTCCTGAGCTCACAGTGCTGCAGGGGTGCTGAAATGTGCTGGATGGATGCAACCAACACAAACCAGAAGTCTACATCCCAAACCAAAGTGTGTTTTTCAACCTTAATAGGGAATTACCTAATTTATTCATAAAACACTGTATGAGCACTTGGAGTTGTTAGTCATTGGAATGAGCAAAGACAATACTGTTGACTTGTCTCTTTTGCCCACCAGTTCCTCTATTGGTTATTAAAATGGTAAGCACCCACTGCAACCAGTTGAGGCTCCTTAATATTGCCTTTGTTCCCCTGAAGCCAGGGTAGGAAGGACACATGGCTGGATCATATGCAGCCCTTCTCTGTATATGTTTGTGTCTGTATGTGTGCACATATGCCTGGACTGACAAACACAGACCACGTTCTGGTTTATGTTTCAATATTGTACCACTTACAGAGTGATATTATCTTATTCCAAGCAGGCAGTATTTTGTAAGAATCAATAATCATCTTAATTAATAATGGCTAAAACCTTTACAGACTTTTTTCCAAAGATATC